CATCTATTACAGTTTCTCCAGCTTTCAGTAGAGCATTTTTAAAAACTTAACATATAAAGTATGAATCTTATTCCCTTTATTTCTTGCAACTCTATAGTCCCCTTATTTTAAAATCACTTAATTAATTTCTCTGTTTTATCTCTTTTTTCCTTTTTTCTAACATTAAGCTCATCTATTCAATTTTACAGTTCTGAATATATTTTCATGTCTTTCTATCTTTCTGTCTTTCTCTTTTTCTGCCCTATATTCCACATTGTTTCTATTTTTCCTTTCCTTTTTTGTATCTTTTCATTGTTAATCCCAAAGTACTTATTTTGTGTTTTGAAATCATGAAATTTTTGCCCTTTATTTCCCCTTATTTTCCATCCTTTTTCCCTCTTTCTTATATTTCCACTGTAAATCCCAGTGTAATCATTTATATTTTTAATATTTTTTCTTCTCCTCCACCCTCTTTTTTCCTTTTCCTTTTCTTTTTCCTTTTTCTTCCTTTCTTTTGTATTTTACAATTCTGCACTCTCCTATTCTGCCCTGTATTTCCCATTATTTCTCCTTTCTCTTTCCTTTTTTTATTTTTCATCTTTTCATTTTTAATCCCAGTATGCTTATTTTGTATTTTAAAATCATAAAATCTTTTATTCTGTCCTTTATTTCTTATTATTTTCCATCTCTTTTCCCTCTTTCTTATATTTCCACTATAAATCCCAGTGTAATCATTTAATTTTTTCTTTTTTTCCTATTCCACCCTCTCTTCCTTCTTTGTCTCTTTTCTTTTTGTCGATACTTAATATTACAATTGTTTAATTTTCCATAGTCAGTCTCTTTGTCTTTGTCTTCTTCATTATCCATCTCTCTTTCTTGTTTCTCATTTGCCATTTCCTTTTCATCTTCAGTGCATTCTAACTCAGTCTTTACATCCTCGAATTTTGATTTTACATGCAGATTTATAATCATTTCCTTTATTTCCAAACACATCGTCTTTATCAATTCATTAAGTTCCTGTTCCATTTTATTCTTTCTGGGTTAATATTATTCCAGTCTTAAGTCACATTAGAATCCTTCTTTTTTAATCATCAAAGTCTATCCTTTTGTAGGCAAAACATATCATCTTTAATTCTCACCAGTTATTTTTTTAAAAGTTCAAGGTTTTATCCCCCCCTGCCCCCGTTTTGCTAGTTTGACTTTGAATAGCAGTTGCGATTCAAATGCTTTTGGTTGAAACAGATTATTTTAAATTGATTTCAACAAGGACTGTTTCCTGGGTGAACATTTTTAGTCACCATAATTGATACAAACTTGCAAATTGTGAGAAAAATTCATCGAATTTATTTCTCCTCAGTTTCTTAATATATTTAATTATTTATATAATTATATATAATTACCATTCTCTGTGATTCACAATGGATTTCATACTCAAGAGACCAACTACTAAGCATCAAGCAATGTTTCCTTCATGGTCAGCTGTCTGTGGCTTCACCCACCCACCCCAGTCTTTACAAATGCAAATGAGTTTCTAATACAGGAAGATGCAACTTCCTCTGAACAATGGATAAACAAAAACAAATGAAGGAGACACTGGAGACGAAGAAGGGGTAAGTGAGTGGGGATTTTGAATAGACTAAGGAAAAGTGGAATAAAAAGTCCTCTTCCTTCACTGTTTCTGACAAATTTATGTTCACTCGCTAATAAGATGGATGAAAGATGGATTAAATAGATGAAACTCTGATTTTTACAACTCAGCTTCATTGAAACCTGGCTAAATGAGTCAATTGATGATAGCAGCTTGCATATCCCAGGGCAGGGGTCTGCAATCTTAAACACTCAAAGAGCTGCTTGGACCTGTTTCCCACAGAAAACAAAACACCAGGATCCACAAAGCCTGGGTGGGCGTGGTCTTTTGAGGCAGTCAGATTCCCATCAAGACTAGTAGCCATTGATCCCCATTACCAACATGAATTGACCCAACTCTTTTTTGAAGGCAGCTAGACTCATCTTGTGGTATCCCATTCCAAAGGTTAATTGCATATTGAATAAAAACTATTTCCTTTTTGGAGACTTTTCCCCAAGATGGCTGCTGAACAAGAAGGGATTTTTTCTCTCATGCTGATGATTTGCTGATTTTGCTGCCAAAGCTGATTCTTCGACAGTGTTGCTCCCTGGATATGAATGGGAGCATATAGGAAGGACTGAAGATGACTTTGGGAGAAATGTGGATCCACCCAGGAAGAGGAATCTTGAACATCGTAATTTCCAGTGGCAGTGGTTGAAAAGTCACCTGTCATCCACCTTTCCTCTTGGCAATTCATTTTCTTAATAATTCCTATGTTTTAAGTTCATTTTTAATTTCTGGGTTTTTTTTTTCTTGCTTCTTCTCTCTAAAAATTGACCTGATTTATTATAACTCCCTGATGAACTCTATTTGTTGTTTTTTTTTTGTCTCTTACCTTTGAGTTATTTTCTTGTTTTGAATAGTTTTCATTTTTCTATAAGGAAATCATGGTGTGTTCCTGGGTAGTGAAAGTGCTTTCACTTGCATTACATTTTTATTGGACATTCATTACAGGGATTTCGAAGTTTTATTAATTTGCAAAATGTTTGGAGCTTATTTTTTACATTTTTCTTTTAATCTTGGAACAAAATATCCAGAAATATTCTATAGCATTTCTTGCTATAGAAATGGCTTGTACATAATGTTGGGTATAAGCAAACAGTTATAGTTGTAATGTTGTTACCTTCTACTGTGCTAAAGAATGTCGGAAGTCTGTCTCTCTTTCCCCCCCCTCCTGTTACACTATATCTCTTCTTTTCCCCTCCCTCTCTTCTTATTTTTTCATGCTTTTTTTTCTTTGTATTTTATACTTTGATAAACTAATAAAAAAGTTAGATGTAAAAAAAAAAGGCTGTGTGCCTCTGGGTTGACTGAATTTGCAGATTCCACCTAATGTAAGGACCTGCCCGAGCTGGTCCCTTAGGAAAGCAATAGTCTTGAATCCATTAAGTTGAATCAAAAGAATTTTTACTGAGAGAAATTGGTTGCAGTAAAGTCAGGAGGAATCTAAAGGTCCCGCACAAAGCACAAAGCAATTCTTCCATTTTTCCACACCCAACCCCCCTGACCAGTCCACCACCAGCCAATGTGATGCCACAAGGATGTTTTGAGAATGCTGAGGTGCTAGGCAGATAACAGGTCTCTCTCAGGAAGTCTGAGGACATGACGGCCTTAGAATCAGGCTGGAACTGGCTGGAAGGGAGTCTGCTCCATCTCTGAGGGCAAACCCTTCCCTAATTCCCAAGCTGTTACAGCAAAAGTGAAAGCATATGAAAAATGCCAACGAGCCTTCCTTTCCCTTCTCTAATAGACTGGCAGGACACAATGGTGGACCTGACGGTCCATCTACAACTCTTTAAAGTATCCCTCCAAGGCATGAGTTGGTACTTGGTTGGTTGGGGGAAGGAGAGATTTTCTCAGTCCTCTAGTGATATGCCCAAAAAAGGATGTGTCTTTCATCCTAACTGATTGAATTAATTTGTGCCAGACTCCTTCAATGCCGCACTTTTTTTTTCTTTTAAAAGGGCCTTCAAACATTTTAGGCAGTGAGTTTGATCCCCAGAAGGAAGGACAGTTTTTACTTTTTCTGTACCCCTCATTATATGCCCTTTTTAATTGTACACAATATCAATCAAACAATTTTTTATTCTTTATAGCCTGATTTCTGGATGTTCCATTAATGAGAACTGTTTTCAGGTTGGCAATTAAAGTTTCAAACCCATCTAAATATTATCTTTGAGGTTTGCTTTCTAGGAGATGTGCACAAGATTCTAGAATTTCTGAGGTTAGCATCCATTTAGTGGCTTCAGTTGCATTTTTATCCATCCATTTAATTTAAACTTTTATCTGGGTATCATAGCTATTAAACCTTGATGAGTAGCTCTTAAAAATTTCCAGTGGTGTATCAGAGTTAGAATTATTGAATAGTGGCCACTTTCTAGTTGTGAATCTACCTCTCTCTTTCATAAAAAATTCAAAAGTTCACATGATACTATCCAATAATCAACTATAAGATTTTCTTCCAGGTCCCCCTCCCCCTGATAGGTGTTTTCTCCTGGGTGGTGTGCACTTATGGAACCTTTAAGGATAAAGCAACTAAGGATAATTCTGTCTAAACAACTAAGGATAATTCTTTTTATGTGCTCCAAAATATTGTTGACCAGATTGTTCTTATTAAGAGGAGGAATATAAATGTTAAAAAGCAAAATCTCCTATGGTTGGATGAGGGATAGGTAGCCACAACCCATGGCTGTAAAGAAGGTAATGAGACACATCTGAATTGCAAGATTGTGCTAACTAGTCATAATACCGTGTTTAGATATCCCACCTGCTTTGCTCAGGAAAGCGGAGAGAGAGTTAACTTAGTAACCATCTAGCTTCACCTCTGAAGTAACCCAAGTTCCTTATAGGAAGAGGACAACAAATTGTGATATATAGTTTTTTTTATATAGTGAAAGAGGAGAGTCGTTTGAGGCCCTTCAGGAGGTATGGTTTTGACAAGAGGAAGCTGTGAGATTATTATCTCACCAGGCTCAAGGTTGACTCAGCCTTCCACCCTTCCGAGGTGGGTAAAATGAGACCCAGATTGTTGAGGGCAATATGCTGACTCTGTAAACCGCTTAGACACGGCTGTAAAAGCACTATGACGCGGTATATAAGTCTAAGTGCTATTGCTATTATGTTGGGCTGGGAGATCAGCAGCAGCAATTATAGCCTCTTCTAAAGGGTGGTTTGTTTAATATAAGTCCTGCATCACTGGGTGGGGGGGGTCTTGTTTAGAATGGATGACACTGACCCCATTTAATGAGGCTTGCCTTGTGGGATTTCCTCCGGAGTTGTTGGGCAAAGAGATGTTAGGTCATGCTGCATTCAGTTCTGTGTCATTGGTTTTGGCAAGAGCCCCCCACCCCCTACCCCTGATTTGTTGCTGGAGGCCCCATGGAATTTCCTGATGTAAAATATTATTTTATTGGTTTTTGAAGAAATAATAGAAATGATAACTAGGTTTATAAAGCAAATATATGAATTTACAATTAGAGCTATTGCAAAAAAAAATTATGAGACTTCTTTTTTTAAAAAGTAATTAAAATACTGAAAAGTAAAAGAAACAAAAAATTTCTAACCAGAAACAGAAAGGGGAAAACATAGTAAAAGCCAAAGGAAACAAATGGCCCCAAAAGAAAAATTAAGTAATATGATACAAAGCACTTTGCTTTTCATGATTTCCCACTGTTCTTCCCTATTAGAACCTATATTTTATGTTTCTATAGATTACTGCTATTCATCTTTTAGGCAACACATGAAACGTATAGAATAGATAGTTTGGTCTAGTGGTTAAGACACCAGCCTAGAAAAGAAGGAGATTGTGAGTTCAGGTCCCACTTTAGCAATGAAATCCAGCTGGGTGACTTTGGGTTAATAACCAGGAAACTCTGAGTTCTAGCTGGGGTGACTCTGGGCCAGTCTCTCCTCTTAGCCCAAAGAGCTTTGGGAAAATAAGGGTAGGATAGTGGATATGTTCTGCTCCTTGAGTTATTTCTAAAAATAATAAAGGTGGAATTCAAATAAAATAAATATAATGAATATAATGTAATATGGAATCGGATTGTCAGATTTTGCCTCTCTGTCAAAATAAAGCTATTTAAAAGATGAGAAAATAGCTTATTATGAGTTTTTTCCCTGTCAGATCAAGATAACACAGCACAGGTCTTGTAAGGCATGGGAGGGGTGGTAAGTCCAAGAGCAGGAGTCAGGTCCAGATCATCTTTAGATGTTCCTGAAGGTGGCTGGAAGGTAAATCTCTGGAGGAGGTTGGTAAAGAAAAGGAAGAGCCCCATTTTGGCAAGGGTCTCCCCAGCACATACTCTCTGACCTGGAAGAAAACATAGATGGCAAAAAAGATGAGTTTTTTTGGCTTCTTAAACTATTTTACATGGCTTTCCATAGTCACATTGCCTCAAAGGAATAATTATAATGTTAAAAGAAATAATGAATCTTCCTAACTATCCTGTTGCACTGAAACTCTTTCCAGGATAGCTTTTCACATATACAGAGTGATGTTACCTGCAGAGAAAGGCATGAATGCATCCCTCTTCACAAATTTTCCTTCAGAGTCAAGAAAATGCTCAGGGTAGAATTCATGAGGTTTCTCCCACTGGGATTCATCATGGAGCACTGATGATAGCAAAGGAACAATTTGCATACCCTAAAAAATGAAATTATATAAAGAAGAGCAGTTTCCATTTAACACATTGTTGTAGAAATTATTATAATGAAATTTTATGTCATTGCTTAAAATGCAAATCAGTCAACAATATCAGTCTAGTCTGAAATAAAAATAATATCCTGAATAAGACATTCATTTTAATAGATGATAGACTTAAAAGTCTATCTAATAAAGACAATAATTTGTCCCACCCCACTAACTCTTTTGTAACATCATTCTATATTTTAACATAGTTTTTGTAAAACAATATGCAATTTATATTGGTCAGCGTGACCCCTAGATATTTAATCATCTTCTCTATTTTTTCATCCTTTTTTCAATTATTTTATCGTGAACATTTTTCTCTTTTGTTGATTAATTTTAAAACCAGCTAATATGCGCAAATGCTTCAGTTTCTTCATTAGATGTTCTATACCTATGATGGAGAACCTATGGCACGTATGCCGGAAGCGGCATATAGAGCCATTTCTCTGGGCACACGGAGCCATCGCCCATTGCTCTTCTGGGATCCAGCCAGGGCCGGATTTAGATGAAAAGAGGCCCTAGGCTATTCCACTTATGAGGCCCTTTCACCAGTGGTGGGATTCAATTTTTTTAACAACAGGTTCTGTGGGCGTGGCTTAGTTGGGGGTGTGGCTTGGCAATCATGTGACTGGGTGGGCGTGGCTAGCTGGTCACATGACTGTGTAGGCGTGGGTAGCTCGTCATGTGACCGGGTGGGCGTGGCTATGTGCATAGGGACTACTCAGAGGGCTGAAAAAAGTCATTTCTGACTGGGCCTCGCACTTTTGACCGGTCCTCACACTTATGACCATCCTCACATTTATGCCCGTGCAGCTTTCTTAACAACCATGTCACTCATTTCACAACTGCTTCTCTTCACCATGGTGACAAGATAGGGCAAAAACGTAAAATGTGAGGACAGTCGTAAGTTCGAGGACTGGTCAAAAGTGCGAGGACCAGTCAAAAATAACTTTTTTAGCCCTCTGAGTAGTCCATATGCACAAAAGGACTACCCAGAGGGCTGAAAAAAGTGATTTCTGACAGGTCCTCGCACTTTTGACCAGTCTTCGCACTTATGACTGGTCATCATTTATGCCCATTGTAGCATTCTTAACAACCATGTCACTCATTTCACAACTGCTTCTCTTCACCATGGTGACAAGATAGGGCAAAAACGTAAAATGTGAGGACAGTCGTAAGTTCGAGGACTGGTCAAAAGTGCGAGGACCAGTCAGAAATAACTTTTTCAGCCCTCTGAGTAGTCCATATGCATAAAAGGATACAGCAATAGAGAGGGATGAAGGAAGGGAAGGGAAATTAGAGTAGGAGTGAGAGTAAGAGAGGGAGGAAGAGAGGAGGAGAAGGAGAAAGGAAGAGGAAGTAGGGAGGAGAAGAAGAGGGGGGGAAGAGAAAATAAGAAGGAGAGAAAAGAGAGAGGTGGTAGGTTTGAGGAGAAAGATTGCTGTACAAAAAAAAAGATGAAAGGGAAGAAAGCCAACCCCAAACAAATATAAAGATATTAAGATAAAGAATGAATTGTTAAACTTTAAAGAATAAAAGAGAACAAATATGAATAAATAACAATAATTAGAAACACACATACAAACATACAATGTATTTTCTTTGAACAGAGTATTTGGCTGGTTCACAAATTTAAACAGTGTTTAGTCATTTCAATTAAATTTACAATTTCCTTTTTGCCATATTTATTCCTCATCTATTTTTGTAAAAAACCAATATTACCCTTCATCCTCATCTCTAATCTTAATCAAATTCAATTTTTCCCTTCTATTCTATATTATACCCCTTCCCATTGTCATCTATTTTTATATCCATCCTCACATTGGTTAATTATGTAATATTAGTTGTTTAATATAAATTCAACATTTTAATATAAATCAATTAGTTATATAACTACCTTTTTTGTATATTAATCAATATGAACATGAATATTCCAATTATTTCCATGCAATCCAATTTCTTACAAATCAATTAATTATATTTACCAATAATAATAAACCAAATAATTTCCCCCATATATTCCTCCAAACCACAACTTAACCATTTCTGCTTTCAACACAATATACAATTAATAGTATCTCAATTATTACAATTCCCTAGTTAAATAGAGCTTTTTTTTTCTTTTGTGTTTTAAAATCCTGAACTCTCCTCTTTTTCCCTAAATTTCCCATTGTTTGCATGTACCTTTTTTGGTAAGGAAAAAGAAAAGAATTCTGCCTGCCTAATTTTCCAACCTTGCAGCAACAGCAAAGCAGCTTCAGTTTCGTTTCTTTGCAAGGAAGCAGAAGAGCCCTGAGGAGGCCAATTAGCCTATGCTGAAGCTCCGTGGGCCAATAAAATTACAAAAAAAAACACCGAACCATTTGTTAAATTGCTGGCTCCCCCGCCCCCCCAGAATCCCACCACTGTGTAGGCCCCTCTTGATCTTGAGGCCCTAGGCTGAAGCCTAGTTAGCCTATAGGAAAATCCGGCCCTGGATCCAGCGCTCTGGCCAGATGGTCTTCACATGCGCGGGAGTACCAGAAACCGATCCAGAGCAGCTGCCTGGTGCGCATGCATGCACTGGGCAGATGATCTTCTGGTTTCCGGCATTCATGCACGTGTGAACACCAGGTGGCCAGTGCTCATGTCCATGCTGGAACCCACAAAGGGAGCAAGGGCAAGGGGAGCAGAGCTGCCAGCCAGGCCAGGCAGGCTGCGGTTTCCCTCCCTCCCCACCCAAATGGGCTTCTTGCGCAGCCCTATCCCTCCAGCCCACGGCATTGCCACGTGTCCACAGTCCAAAGCGTCTGGCCAGCTCAGGCATATGGGGCAGGGTGACAGGGTTTACTGGCTGGGCAGTCGGCTGTCCCACATGCTGCTCCTGCCCCTGCGAGGGTGTGATGGCAGTTCTCATGCTGCCACTTCCAGCCAGGATGCTGGAGGAAAAGGAGAAGGAGCCATGCTGCCCAGTGGTGGGATTCAAGTAATTTAACAACTGGTTCTCTGCCCTAATAATTTCTTCTAACAACCAGTTTGCCAAACTATTCAGAAAGTTAACAACTGGTTCTCCCAAAGTAGTGCTAACTGGCTGAATCCCACCACTGGCGCTGCCCCAGGAGGGCTGGAGGAGAGCACAGCATGGAGACAACACTGATGGTTAAGAGGCGTGCTGGCCAGGAAGTGACTGGGAAAGGTGGGGGGACTGCGTTGACTTATTCCTGGTGGCAGGCTGGGAGGGATGCTTCATCCTGGCCTCCCAACCTGAGCCCCGGGAACGCTGATGCGTCTTATTTCCAAGGCCGGGAAGGGGCTCCGGCTTTCCAGTGGAGGGAGATGACATTCCTCTCCCTGTCTGGGGCTGTGGAATTGGGTCATCGGTGGGGATGTCCTGCCACCTCGAGAGGGACCAGGCGTTGGACAAGGGGGCAGGCAGGGAGGTCAGAGGACTCCCGAAAGGCCAAGTGGAGCTGATGCATGTGCACTGGACAGCTGATCCTCGTGCATGTGTGTGCACCAGAAACTGGAAGAAAAGGTGGTTGGCACGTGCGCTGGAAACCAGAAGATCATCTCCTTTTCTGGTTTCTGGCGCACGCTTCGTCACTTGGTGCCGAAAATATTCGCACAGATATGATAACTAGATCTGTTTTGACTATAGAAATGGTGTGTATTGGTTCTTTAATTCTTCTTTCTCTTGTTTTCCTTTTTTGAACTTTTCTTTTTTTATTATTCTGTTTTTTATTAGTTTTGTAAATTCAATAAAATTATATTAAAAAAACAAATTATTATAATGAAATTTTAAAGGTAGTATTGCAAATGTTATCATTGTCGTCAGTTATTCAGTCGTGCCTGACCTTCAGCCACTCTATGAATCACCACTCTCCATACACTCACACCATGTCATGGCTCTTTTGGATCATGATTTGGAGGCTTATTTTTAAGGCTTTTTTCGGCTCATTTTTTCTGAAAAAATGGGCCAAAAAACCCCCCTTGAAAATGGGTTGAAAAAAGCCTTGAAAATAGACTAAAAAAAGCTTCAAAAACAGGCTGAAAGAATCCTCAAAAACGGGTTGAAAAAAGGCTGGAAAAAGGCCAAAAAAAAGGCCTGAAAAAAAGGGAGGCCAAAAACTTTTTGTTGTTGTTCTCCTCTTCTAAATTTAGCTGCACCTTATAGTCAAGTGTGTCTTATAGTCTGAAAAATACAGTAATCTGCATTTGGTTGTGAGGCTGATGTTTTTACTCTTTTAGATGTTATTCATGCCAGATATAGCAGTTCTTCCAAGTGCTATATGCCTTCTGATCTTAGGGCATATCAATTTTGGAGCCTAGGAAGATGAATTCCTTTACTGTTACTATGGCCTCATTGTCGATCTGCACTCTGACCTATGTGTTTTCTGCAGTTGTCTTTATCTTTACTTGATGTTAAGATGTAGTCCAAATTTTTCACTTTCATCTTTGACTCTTAGTATTAACCACTCCAGATTCTCCTTGCTTTCCGCAAGCAATGTTGCATCATCAGCATATTGGAGGTTGTTAATATTCCTACCACCAATTTTAACCCCAATGGTAGATTCCTCCAAATGGGCATTTCTCATAACTATTTCTGTGTACATGTTGAATAGTATAGGTAACAGGATGCAAATTTGCTGAGTGCCTTTTCCCAATTCTGAACCATTTTGTGTCACCATATTCCATTCTTACAGTGGCTCCCTGATCAAAGTAAAATGACTGATTGAGCTGCTTGTGGTGTGGTGATATTACCAGTTCTATGAGGCAGTTCCAGAGGTTGTCATGGCTAACACAGTCAAAGACTTTTGTGTAGTCAATGAAGCACATTCCTTTGCTTTTTCCATCATCCAACAAAAATTGGCAATATGATCACACATTCCTCTACTTTTCTGAAATCCTGATTGTACATCAGACAATTTTCTTTTGGTGGTTGAATTCAAACATTGCTGGATTATCTTCAAGACAAT